TTTGTGATATCAGTATTGTGGACATCCAATCAAATTTAATTTTTCTTTAACATACCTACTATATAGGCATAGCCTAGATAGGCCTAGGCCTATTCTTTGTAATCCAGGTAGGCCTACCTGTGCGCTCCCTGTGAGCATTAGGTGACGATTCTGTCTGCTTTCAATTCAATTCAATATTTATTTATGGTTGATATAAACTTTTCACTTGTTTAAATACATCTATAAATAGGCCTAAATAAACAATTGTTTTTCAAAAGATTGTGGAGTTTACGGTAGTGTAGTACTAGTAGTTTACTCTTGAAGGAACTTAAAGTAGGTGCAGATCAAATGTCATATGGTAAACTATTTCATAGCACTGGCCATCGTAAACTTTTTTTTCAGTTCAGTATTTGGTTTGGCACAACTGGTTTAAATAAGCAGTCTGAACATAACATCATTAAAAAGCGATCCACTGTGTGCGCCTTGTAGTGGTGCATTCTCTATAGAATTTTTTTTTTAAATTTAAAATTGAGCTGGCAAATTGACTTTATTTGCAAACTGCACAAATTTACTTATGTGGTATTTTGCAGGCCTTTTCTACCCTCAATGTTAGTGCATGCAAAGAATGAAAACATGTGGAAACTATGGAGATCTACTGTGTATTCAGCAATAGTGCAGCTGTAGAGTATTGAATACAATTACAAATACAATACACATTTTATTTTTCCTGTTTTTGCACTAGTTATTACTTTTGAGCAACAATGACTGAGGAAGAGCATTCTAAGCACAGACCTCCGGAGCCAATAAACATTACAGTTCTGAGAGCGAGGCATTTGGTATGTATCTACATTAGAATACAATACTGTATACCTCAACCTTATTGTTTAAATAGTATTTGATAGGTTTAAATTATAGCAAACCAAATCCTTGATGAAGTATACAACTAAGTAAATAAATTGATATTCTATATAAGAAAATACATAATTTTAAATGAATAGCCCATGAAGTAGGAATCTTTTCTATTTCTCCCTTTGTTCATCTATTTCGTCTCTCTGTTTCTTCATCTTTCTATCTATTTATTATGAATGACTACATAAATGAGTGTAAATATGTTTATTGTTTTCAGCGTGGCAGTAAAGGAGATGCTTTGACTTCACTCGTACGTGTGGAGTACGGAACGAGTGCACTTGGCGAATCCAGCAAAGTTGACTCAAGCGCAGATGTTGCAGCTGAATACAACTTCAACTCAAAGATTGACTGTAGCTTCGAGGACCCAGTCATCCTGGATGAAATTGCCTACAAGCCTATCTTAAGTATGTTGAAAGCATAGTGATAAGAAAGGGATTTTTGTGTACATGTATATATAAGGCTGCATCTTCCCAAGTTTTTTTTTTTTTTCTCAATACAGAGTCTGAAACTATGGATGGATTTATTCGGTGTAAACACCAAGGATAACCCATAAAAGTCTAGAATAAGACTTCCAGTGGAGTCCTGGTGGTGATTGATCAGTTCTTTAATGTGCACATAGGCCATAAAGCACATGGGACCAATCAACCAAATAACAGTGCGCTATTGAAACTTGCATTTCAACCCTCCATCTGAAACTCTGAAACAGCGGCAATAGGAATTGAACTGGGGACCCAGAGATCTCCACGTTTCAGTGCACACTCAGTGGCTACCACCAGTTTATCCAACTGAGCTAAACTCTCTCTAACATTATATTTGGTTCCTTTTACTATTTTAGTTACTGTTGTTGAGGTTCTTCCTAAAGAAAAGAAACAAAAAGAAGAGCGAACAAATCAGTTAGGCCAGTGCACAGTTGACTTACTTCCCTTGGTGAAGGGAGAAAATAAGTATAAAAGTACCCTTGTCATTCATCCATTGCCTGGATCACCATTTGAAAACCTGGCTCCAGATAGCCCAAGGGTAGGTATTACTAATCTTTTTATGGAAGGCTAATGGATGCTAAAAAGGAGTTATAGGTATTTTTTCCTTATTAATAATTATTAGCAAAGGGTGTTACTAAATAATCCTAACTGTAATCAGTACAAATTACTTGGGATGTTTTAAAAGACTTCAGTGTTGATTTTTTTGTTGATTGCTTCATACAGTATGATTTCCATCTTTGCCAGCTAATAAGTTTTGTATTAATTCTGTTTGTCTGGCTATCTGTTTATTAGCAGGATTATTAAAAAACTAATTAATGGATCATCATAAAATTTAGTGGAGTAGTACATATTGATCTAAAGAAAACGAGATTTAATTTTTGGGTGAAAAGGCCAAAGAACAAGGTTAAGTTCACAGAAATAAAACAAAAAAATCATTGAAAGTATCTTAAGCAAATAAAGACAATAATGATATTATTTGTCTCGCCAATAAATTCCTGGTGTGTATTATTCAATATTCAGGCACAAGACAGAGGTGTGCAGTGACTGCACTCAAGTATTTTTTTTTTTAATCCTTCACATCAAAAAGCAAGTATACTTGCCACTTACACAATGGAACAGTGCTTTATAAACTCTTATTGAGGCCTAGGGAGTGGGGGTGTTTTTATTTGTGAGAAAAAGTCCTGCTGTTACAGGAATTGAACCCAGGACCCTGGATTAGAATGCTAGCATCGTAACCACTACGTTATTCAACTCCACTATATATTTAATATTATTTGGCTACTTTCAGCCGGAACTTGATGTTGTGGTTTATGTGAATGAGCCCCTGCTGACAAATGAGCAGCTCCTGGAGAGCAATCTGATGACAGTTACCGTCGAAGCCGCATATTCTGTGCCAGAATCCTGGAATCCAAGTGGAACTCAATTTCTCTACAATGTTACACTACCAATGCCAATTACTAATGACGTAAGTCCTTGGCACTGCTTTCAATATTGTCTTGTTCACTGTGCCTGTATACTGTATGTTGATATTTGTATTAGTATGAAGTACAATGGTGGTGCCAGCAGGGGGCAGGGGGATTTTTACCCCATCAGACAGGCCTGGACCCCTGTTTTCCGACCCCATGATGAGGTCATCGGACAAAAAATAATAAATTGCGTATCCAAATAACATTACTGTGCTTGCCAATTTTTAATTTTGTGGTCAAAAAGCACAATTTGGGCCATTCAAAGACATACAAACTCTCCCCATGAATTCTACCAGGGATTTTTATTCCGGGACCCTGACCGAGGCTCTGATCTTGGTTCGGACCCCTGTCGGAAATGTCATCATATTTGTGAAGCTACCACTGATGAAGTAAGAATTGCTACATCACCTAAAGAAACCTTGCTGGTGTCAGAAGCTCTGGTTATCAAATAATTTAGTTGTTATTTTCTATTACATTGTTCCAATAGACTAATATATTTTGTAATTAACATATTTATTTTTTAATTTATGAATTGCTGGTGTGAGATGGAGGTTTAGTAATCTTATGTTATGGTGATATAAAGAAGAAAGATATTTGCAATAAATTTTAATGTATTTTCCTTGTTTTAAATGATTAATTTTCTTATGTTCACACAGAGGGAGTCAACTGTTGTGTTATCAAATGGTGTGTTGAAATCAGCCTCTGACAAAGATCAGCCGTCTAAGCAGAAGAAGTGGACAGCCCCTGGAGCTGCCCAGGGTAATGCCATTTACATTCATGACCAGTAAGTTTTTGTGTTTGCAATGAATTCTTAAGCCCTGTCCAGATTATCACATTTTCTTTGACAAAAATCTGTTGTATGCCCATATATTGTCATGATGTGCCTATATATGGTCATGATGTGATGTCCTCATAACCATATTTAGGCGTGTCACATGTTTTTGTCAAATAGAATTTGATAGTGTGGACAGGGCTTAAGGTATACTACTTTAAACTTAATATAGTAATTAACTAATTGCTTTATTGATATAATATGAAGTTTATTTAAAGTTGTGGATTGAATGTGACTGGAAATAGATTGCATTGATTCATCGTTATATCCACCATTCCATTCATTTATATATCCAACTATCTCTATCCATCCAATATATCCCTCTGTCATTTTATTTACTTATATATAGCTGGTAATTTATTAATGCATTCATATACTATCTATTCATCCATCATTAGTATATTTTTATCCACACATCTATCTTTATTTTGACTTTCATTATCATCCATCCATCCATCGACCTATTCATTTATATATCTATTTATCAATTAAAACATTTTCATCCATGCAATCGTTTTTTCCCCATAACTCTATCCATTCATACGTAACATATTCATTAATAAATCCATTGTTATCCATCCATCCATTTATCCTTCTATTTATCTTCTATCCATACATTCACCCATACACTTATTCACTTACCTATCTATACATTGATCCATCCATCAATCTATTCAATGTCAACAACATAATATTTTTATAGATGGTTTTTTCCTAAAAGGTAAGGTAAGGCAAGGCCAAAACTGACACTCTAGGGTCTCAGGGTGGAATGCCCATCTCTCGTTTAACATATCAAGGATATGTGTATTCTGAAATTAAATATAATTATTGCATTGATTTCAGGTTTGTGCAGTCAAGTAATTATGATCAGGAAGATGGAGAGCTCACAGGCAAAGAGGTTTGTTTCAGTGAACATCAATAATTTAGCAAAAAGTACTCTGCTACAAATGAACCATTGCCAATTTGTGTGGTTTAGCGTAGCCACTAGCATTGGATTGACACTCAGAAGGTTGCTGGTGCGATTCCAGCATCCATCCTTCCATGTTGCCAGGTCACAATTTTAATGATAGTAGATGCTTCTGGTCATGTTGTTCGCTTTTCTGATATTTAATTCTAATTTTGATTAACATACCTTCAAAGTATTTTTGAGGCCATTTTCTATTATTAATTATAAAAATAAGATGAAAACAATCAGTTCTTTTTCTTTTAAGGCGAATTTCTCCGAAGTATGTTTTTAGCCACCTGAGTATAAAACCGATCATGCTCCAGTTTTATTGAACTTAGAAACTTAATTCAAAGACCAAAATGAAAAGCTTACAATGTGAAATATCTTAATACCATTTTTATGTTTGGTACTAAAAAACTCATTTTGTGGCATCACCTCACAAATGTCCTTTGTTCCATTCCACAATCATTCTAGTCTTTTATGTCTTGTATGCTCACATAAAAAATGATTGCATCGTTATCTATCATAGCTGCACCTTCGCTGTATGCAGAACAAAGTCAGAATCGCCATAGAAAATGTTCTGTTATTTTTTAAGGATCGTGAATTTCGCATTGAAGTTGAAACAGAGAAGAACCGTGTCATTTGGAACACTGAGAGAAGATGTTACATGGAAAAATCAGCAATTCAAAGGTAAAGAGTTGAAAAGCTTGGCAGTTAAGATGCTTGCTTTCCAATCCCTTGGTCATGGGCGGTCTTTGGGTTTCGGTCTCCATTTAGAGGGTTAGCTATGTGTTAAACATTGACAATTTTTACTTGGTTGTTTCACAAATTGGTCTTGAATCAGTGTCTCAGAAGAAGAGAGTTCTTGAATTAGAGGATGCACTGTATAACTGTTGTTGTTATCGTTGTAATTGTTAGATTTTATTGGGGTTTTTATATTAATTTTTAGCATTAAGTTGGAATTTTATAATTTGCTTGTTTGGAATATAACAAATATACATATAATATTTACAATATATATATCTTTATCTTATCTTAAACCTCTGTCTGAAAGCAATAATTATTACATGAATTGTTATTTTTACCATTAAGCCTGCAAAGTAAGATAGCACAGACACGGGTTTGGCCAGTGGAGATAATGAGAACAACAATGCCAACTGCAACCAAAGCTAAAGGCAAAGAAGAGGAGAACCCTATCTTTTTTCATGGAGTGGCCTATGTGAACCTTGCACCATTGCTTTACCCGGGAGGTCAGTGAGGCTTTTGTTTGTAAAGCCCTGCCTAGACTATCGCATTTTATTTGACAAAAACATGTGATATCACATGACCATATATAGGCACATCTTGGCTATAAATGGACATACAACAGTTTTTTGCCAAAGAAATTTGAATAATCTGGACAGAGTTTTAAATAAAAACTATTTTGCTCTGTAAACTGATAAATGCTGGTCTATAATAGTCTTACTTAACATTTTTCTTTTAGTAAAGAAAATCAGAGGTGCATTCAGGATTCATGCATTCAATGAACAAGAGCTGTGTGAAAAGGTATGAAGAAATGATTAAAATTTAAAGTATTGATACAACTAATAACTAATTAATAACAATATTTATTCTCACTGCATTGTATGAATCATTTTGACAGAAAAATGATGAAAATAGATGTTTTCTAAGATATTCATTGTTTATATTATGTGTGTAGACAAAACGCAAAAGCGGTTTAGCTGAAGAGGCTGTTCGATTAGCCACTGCTATGCATCGGAATGCTTCGCCATTTGTCAAAGCTCCTTCAAAATCTGGGAAAGATGATAAGGCAGGCAAAGAGAAGGAGAAAGACAAGGATGCAGCGAAAAAGGTAGTTCACATGATTTATTACAATGGTTGGAGATAACCTGTGTATTTGTTTATTTATAATATATTTAGCACGCATAAACAAATATTAATAATGGCAGAGCACATCATGGGGTGAAGTAACATCTAGTCCTACTCTTATCAGGTAATAGTAAAATATTTAATATTGTTTACATTATTAATGCCCCAAACTAAATATCTAAAAGTTGTAGAAGAAATTTGTCTTTGAAATATGTTTAATGAGTAACAGCGATAAAGCAATGAGGATGCACCTGTGGTATTTGACATGACATTTGATGCCTTCAGATGATGGCTTATCATTGTTGGGGGTCTTCTAGTTAAAAGACCAATTCATGACATAGATTTCAAACCTAAAAGTGGTAGAAGAACCTGTTTTTGAAGTTTTTTTGTGATCCATTCTCAAGCAGCAGCCTTCCTCTTTGTTGAAGACCGCACCTGCTCCATCTTCCGACATTGTACCAGAGGCTGAAGTCCCTGCACAGCAGAATATTGAAGGACAACAGTACGATGAGGCCAGGAGCTACATATTCCTAGAGTTTGTTTTAAAGAAACCCATAGTGCCGAAGAGGGAGCCAGAGGAATTAGCCAAAAAGTAAGCTTAGAAATAATACAATATGCTTATTAATTATTACCAGCATATTTTTATTTTTTATTTATTTCTAAAAGTAATATAAAATGGTTACTTACAGATTTGTTAGAAAATACAATTAAGATACCTATGGGCCAAGCATATTCCAATGAATGGTTTTTAATACATAAAATTAAATCTTAATAAAAATTTGAAAATCATAATACTCAGGGATAATTGCTTAAATGTTTTGAAAGAATTATTATTTGCCTCAAATTGGATAATTTGAGGCAAACAAATTTAGATTATGGATGATTGTTTATACAAAATAAATATAATTTATTATAAGTTCATACTTAGGTATTTTTATATTTTCTCACATGAAGCTGTTATTGGGGTAGTGAAAGCATGAAAAAAAACCCAATAAAACTATTTTAAAAAACATGTTATGTTTATCATGTAATAATATGTTGCTGCTAGTTTAGAGATAAATATTGATGAGTCAATTTTGAATTGTTGATTTATGAATTGATATTTATGATTTTTATTGCAGGGTATCAGAGTATATTCCACCTAGGCCGTTGTTTCCTCGTCGAACAAATGGAGCACAGAGGGCAGTAGATGACTTCCATCAGCAGGTGGCCTCTATTGGCAATTTGGTCCTAGAAGAATTCAGGTTCGATACCATATACTTTTTGCTACGCATTCATTAATGTAGAATATTTAAAAAGTACTGTAATTTAGAATATAAAAATAAAAAAATATCTTACCTTTATTTAGAGATAATTATTGAGAGAAATTATGAAGAACAGTTGTGAATTATTTTATATACTGTGATGTTTGTTCACTTATTAATTCTAAATAAAAGTAATAATTAAAGTGTTGAACATTTTTTAAATACTTTCCTCCATAGAGAATTGTTTGCAGACCAATTAGCAAATGGGGAATTACCGCAAGTTAACAATTCAGTTGAAGAAAGGCGAAGAAAACTTATTTATGAGCTGAACAGTAGTGGCAAATATTTTGCCTTTAAAGAACAGCTAAAGGTGTGTGTATTTTTAATTTTGTGTGTGTGTTATGTCATATTAGAGATTTCCATGGCAGAGAATTTTTTTAAAGATTTAGGATGGTAAGAATTGTGATTTCAGATTACAGTATTAAGAATCTGCTGTTACTATAAATTTTTATTGAATTGGCAATTTATCATTAGTATTTTGAAAACCTCAAGTGGTGTCCGACAAGATGTTGTATGGGAGGAAATTATTCCAAATCTTCCGATAGCACCTCCACTATAGCAAATCTTATCATTTTTTTATTTGTTTAAAATTTTTTTGTTATGCCATGGCCAAATGAATTTTCTTTTGGATATTAAAGCATTTTTGAATTTTAATTGGAATTTTGAATTGAATTTGAGACCTGCAATGTTTTACAACCAAATTTCTCATTAAGATTTATTTATTTATTTAATTTGTTTGATTTATATAGTGCAAACTGCTTAAGGCGCCTTCCTCCTGGTCATTGGATACAGAATCAATCATACACAATGTGCAACCTCCTCCATCCCCTGAGGATTATTCCTAGTTATGTGTGTAACCAGAACTACTTATTTCATTCCAAATCATTCACCTCCTACCAGGTACCCATTTATACTCCTGGGTGAAGAGAGGCAAATGCAGATAAAGTGTCTTGCCCAAGGACACAAGCAGTGTGAAGAGCACCGGTCTTTCACTCTTGACCTTCTGATTTCCCAATTCCTTACATGCTGTGCCACACACAAAATTATTTGTGAGGATTGAACCCAGCACTCTGATATTTAAAGTTGAGTAGTTTCTTATTATTAGGTGTCTGGATTTAAGAATTCAGAAATTATAAACCATGTGTTTTTATCGGTTTTAATATATCTTGCAGCACTCTGTTGTCAAGGTTGTACGTGAGAAGTACTTACAAACTTCAACATTTACAGACCAGGAACGGTTACAGGTACAAAGTCAGTTTTTGCCTTTGAAAAATTCCATCATGTTTAAATGTACATATGTAAAAATGAAAAGTACAGGTTTTAAATTGATTTAACAGACATTCCCCAAAATCCAGTGGAAGTCTACACCTTGTTTTTGACTGTAAAAAAACTAACAATTTCAATAAGAGATTTTTGAAAAAAATTTGGCTATGCCTCTAGAAGTTGCAGTGTTGCAGACATTTTTAGATACCAGGTAATTAATGAAAATGCTCTTCAATTTCAGTTCACCCTTTAATTTGAGACCACCTTTTTGGCCTGAAAATTTGTCTCGAATTGGAGGGTGCACGTCCTATACTATTTTGCCTTTTACTGTTAATGAATCTGATCTAATAATTAGGCTTTCTTGAGTGAGCTATATGTGTTCCTTGTGGACGAGATGCATGTTGGATTGAGTAACGTACTGTCTTTAGAAGATGAGACTCCAGTTCCAGCGCCCCTTACAGACACCATGCAGTTGAAACACTTTGCCCGAGAGGCTGAGGTTAATGAGAATTTTGAATTGGCTGCTAAATACTATCAAGAGGTACAGCATAAAAGACTTGTTAGCCTTATTTTGAAACAATTAACCTTAATTGTTATTGTAATTGTTATTTTAAAATATTTTCACATCATATTTTCACATCGTCATTTTAACCGAGCACACAATGTGTCAATGGTCATTGGCCGAGGCATTTCAGTGGAGAATGCAACACAAGTCATGATTATGTAATATGACATTAAGATTGTATAAATGATTTACTTTGATAGATTTTTATCACTCAAAATACATATAATTCTTCCTATATATTAAAATACATACACAGATTTCCATTTTATAGCTCATTCCTTTTTATTTCGTAATTGAACAGAGATTGGCGCAGAATAGGAATGATGCCGACAATTGGTTTGACTATGGAACGTTTTGCTTACTGATCAACGACATCTCAAAGGCTGAAGAGTGTTTTAAGGAAACTATCTCAATCCAGCAACAGCATCTGTCCGGCTTGCTCTTGTATGGTGTTGTATGCGCCATGGAAGAACGCAACGATATGGCGGAGACCTTCTTTGAAGCTGCTACTGCTGCATACCCAGATAGTGTCCTTGCCTGGACAATGCTTGGTAACTCTTTTATAAAAACGTTTACTGTTTACCTTTCTGTCTGTTTAAAATGAGAATCAGCCTTGGTGTTTTTCTGCAGCTGACAATTGTGAACCAATGACTTTGATTGTTAACCCACAACCAAGTCAAAAGCTCATAAGGAGATAGCCTACTGTACCTTGCTGATACAGTGTGAACCACTTCAAAGCAAATCAATGGTCCAAGCTGAGGGTTCTAAGCTTAGTCAGGTTTTGCAAAAAAAAAAAAAAAAAAAAAAAATCAAACTGTAGCACTTTGCTATGATTTACATATACAAATGAACTTGCCTAAGTCGAATCCAAAAAGTCATTCAAATATTGTTCAACATAGATAAAATTTGACTTACAGATTTTTAATTAATGAAAAACACAACAATTTGGCATGTAATAAGTTTGACAAATTCGACTTAGGCAAGTTTAACTGTAATAGTAATTGTTCTACATTAATCAATATCACTACCATGCTTGTTAGCAGGGGTCTGAATCTGGCAGAAGTTACTTTCGGAAGATCAGGTCAAATGAGCTAAATTAAACAAATCTAATTAACAAATCATATTGGAGGATACTTGTACCAGTTTCTGTATCATCATTCTGTATCAACTGAAGCTAAAATTGAGACATTTAATGAAAATGTGCAAATTGAATAACTGCAACTATATTATGATTTACAGGTTTGTTTTATGATGGTATTGATAATGACATACAAGCTGAATTTGCATTCCTCGAAGCTCAGAAGCTGAATTTAGCTCATGCTGTAGCAAAGCAAAAACAGCAACAGATAGCCAACGAACAGGCAGATGCATCCGTCACTAAACCTGTGCCTCCATCGGTGATCTCTGTAGCGCCCCCTGAGGGTACTGGAGATGCCTCGCTTTTACATGGTGCTGAAAACCAACAAGATACAGGTAATAATGAAGTTAAACTATTAAAATTTGTATTCATTTATAACAGCACAGCATGTTATAAATTAGAAATTGTATCGTAAATTTTGATTTGTGCATGCTAGTTTTAATATAATTCAGTGTATATTTTATATTTAGTTTTATTTTTTATTTACTGTATATTTATATTCAGTTTAGGTTATTTTTTATTTAGTTTAGTTTATTTTGTATTTATTTTTGAAAATGTCTAATTAATTTTAACTTTACTTCCATACATAACAAAATTTATTATATTTAAACTGGTAAACTATTGTATTAAGTGATTGACAGAATTACACTTTTGTTTAAAGTTCTGTTAGGCTGAATAAAATTCCCCCTGGCATGTGCAGCCTCATAACTTGCTCTATATTGCTTATGCCTACCTTTCAAAGTAGCTTACACCTTTCACGCAAGCATATATACTCACATCAGAAAGAAAAAAAAAACAAAACTTATTATTGATCTAGCTGTTCACTAGCTAACAAGCAGCCAATCAATTGGTTGGATGCACTTGCTTACTCTCTTACCAAGTTGCATATTATTAACTGTATAAAAACAACTGTGACTTGGACAATTGCCATTTCTATCACAGACCTATTTACATATTATTCACTGTATTTAATTAACAATGCACTTTACCAAACTGTAACCCTGAGGCCCCCATTCACACCAACCTCTTGTTATACCTCTGACCTCATTTTCGTTCCAGCAGTACTGCCCTGTTTACACTTACAATCATGAGCTGACGGTGCAATTTCATCCTCAGGGGCGGATTTAGGGGGGCTGGCCCGGCCCCCCTTTTGGGAGGTAAAAAAAAGAAAAAAGAAAGAAAAAGAAAAAAAATGATAGCCCAGAACGCCTCAAATGTTATTTTTGGGCGTCAGAACACAAAAATTTCGTCGGACCCCCTTGGACCTGTCTCTTAGATGTGTATAAGAGACAAGATTCTGTCAATTCATTGTCAGTAATACTGCGAATACTGTAATGCAGGATAGCATGGAATGAACAAAACATGGACGGTACTATTAAGCAGACCAATCATTCCACATGAATTGCTCGTGAATAGTAGGGTGGTATCGTGGCTTGTGTCAGGTAATAGTCGGCCTGCCTAGAGCCAACCTAAAATCACCTCCAGAATAAGGAGTTGGAATTAAATTTACCAGATCATGACTTGCCATTGAAATTGTGTGTGTTTACACGTGAAGCATGCTAAGTGCAGACTATTTTTCGTAATTGTTGGACTAAAGTTAAATTCACTGTATTTAGAAACACTTGGAAGCACTTGTTCCACCACGTAGTTGCAAATAATTCACTGCACTGTATTTTTAAACACTTTTTCACAGACAATTGAAATGTATGCTACTGTATATATTTCATATTATAAATTTTATAATAATATAAATATTGCAGAAATGAAAATAATTTCTATTCAATTATCACTTGTGTGTAAAATTAAAAATTGTGAAGAAAAGAATCAAGAAAAAAATCAAGATTAACTTTTGTAAAAATAGTGCTTTGCATTTTAAACATCAACTATAATGCTATTTATAGTGGATATTTTGAATATATATTTCTATTTGAAGTATCCTTTATTAATTAAATAATTAATTAATTAATTAATTGAAGTAATATTTTTGTAACTAATTGTTGTTGACTTAATATTAACATTGCCTTTTCTTGCAAATTGTGAATGCAGGGCTCCTTCCTGCAGCACCAGAGCTAACCAAGACTCCTGCCACAACTGAGGGTAAAAATTTATCCCCTTCTGCCTACAAAGTTAGGCAGGCAGGGAGTAGCAATAAGAAACGCATTTCTGTCTCAAAATCAGGTTGGTTTAAGCGAGATGTACTTTTGAATCATACCTCATCATCGCTGGGGGGATTTTTTCCATCATCATCACCATATTTTATCAACATTACCATAGAACATCATAAATGTTTTGTTAATTGTCATTAAAGAAAATAGTAACAACATAGCATCATCATTATTATTTTAAAAATACAGTAATATAATGTATCATTATATTTAAGGTAATCATTTCAGCATTATAAATTATGACAATTATATTTTTATAATCATCATCATTGTATTTTTTATTGATATAATCATGCTAGTAATTATTTTTTGTCATAGAGAAAAAAACACATTCATTTGATGTAATTAATCTATGTGGCACACATTGTAAATATTATTTTCTTTTGTTTTTTCCAGCGCTATAAAAGCATCTTCATATTTCCTTTTATTTATGTTACAAACATATGTATAAATCAATCATAATATTTCTGGATCTTTTAATTGAGGTTTTTGATTTGTACAGAACTAAATCCATATTCTAATGAAAAATTAATAGTCATTTCTGAGTATTTTAACCCACTTAGTGGGAATTAATTTGCCGCCATGAGAGGTGAATCTGCAAGCCCCCCCCCCACCCAGTTTACGCCCATGAACAACATCTTTCACAGCTAACAACTTTTTAAAAAAATTTTAATTTCTTTCATCTCTGCCAAATCCAGATAATTATGAATTCATATTGTGAACAAAATTCTGTCTGTGCTTTGCTTTTCTAAGTTTTCATTTGTCATCTTTAAAGTAAACTTTAAACAGAAATCAGCCTAACAAAGGAAATTCCTTCTCACAAACTTTGTAAAGTTGTTTTCATCATAACCATGAAACACATTTTACTTAACCTTGAAAATTATATATACGTTAGAAAATTATATTAATCATAATTTAATATTGATTTAACCATTCTCAGTTTCTTTTTTATGGAGCAAACAGTGCTCCCTTATAAGATGTGAGAGCAGCTAGCTCAGTGGCTAAACTGGTGGTAGCTACTCTGTTCGCTGAACCTTGAAGATGAACCGTGGAGGTCCCCGGTTCAATTCCCTTTGCTGCTCTTCTTGTGTTTCTGCTGGAGGGCTGAAATGCAAATTTCAAAAGCGCACCGTCTTTCGGATAAGACGTTTAGGCTGTTGGTCCCGTCTGCAAAATGGCTCTTTTGCATATTAAAAAATGCAACACACACTTCAGAAAAGAGTAAGGGGATTTGGTCTCTCAGTGTACTGCCCAATTTACCACCAGAAGGACCCTACTGGAAGTAAGTCTTATGACTGTCATGGGCTATCTATCTATCTGAGGTGTGTATCACTCCAAATAAATCCATTCCAAGGTGCGCCCCCTCCTGTGCTCCACCCTCTTTCTAAGCCTCCTATGCCTTGTGAATGGAGTACCAATAGTGTATAGTAATTGACTGCTAGCCAGGTAGTGGAGGCATTAAAAACATGGGTCGTGCCAGTAGCACTGGATCATAATGCCATTGAATCATTCATGGCATTATGGACTTTGACTACTGAAGATGGCACATTATTTTTACAGTATATTATTTTATTTTAATTCAAGAAATTTTATATATTATCACAAGAATGTAATCTTGTAGTAAATATTAGTAACAAAGTTATAAAATTATCATTCATATTTAAAATAAATGTTTTTTGTTGGTTTGTATTTTGTAGTTATTGCAGACTGTCCAATATTATGACAATGTAATTCCAATATTACCCTACTATCATGGTCTGCTCACTGTTAATCGGTCTAGGCTCTAGAATAAACAACTGGCAGCACCCAATCCCAACTACTCTCATTGCATCACTCACTGCTGTTCCTAACATGTGGTTGATAATATATGGTTGATAATATATGGTTGACATTTTCCATTTCTCATGTTTTGAATTTTTTCTTCACTCTTTCACTTTTACAATTTATTGTCCTTTTGAAGACATCAAATGATCCTCTGTTAATATGAATATAAACTCAAAACAGTATTATGAACACAACCAACTCCAGAGTTGAGATCAGTGACAGGTCAAGTACGACATGAGTTTCTAAAACATTCCAGGTTTCAAAGAAGATAACCAACATATGTCATTGTTTGTTTTTGTTAGATAAGTGGAATATTTGTTACTCTAAATGCAAATAGAATATATTTTGTATTGAAGTAGTCTAGATATTTAGCTCTGATAGCTTTGTTGTATTGTAGTTGTGATAGGACAATAATGTAATGTATTTATCAGAACCACTTCAAATGCTTTACATATACAGTGTACTTTGTTCTAGTTTAAAATTACCCTGATAATTGTGTAAAATATGATATGATTAATAATGAAGGTGGTCATGGATATTGCATTAGGCTAGGATTACATTTTACAAATTAGTATAATTAATATTTGTAATAATAATATTAATAACAATATGCGCTAAGTCGGACTTTAAGGGGAATATCTTTTGTGTCATTTTCCCCATAACATCGTTTTTTTAATTGTTCTCTAATTTCTCCATTGTCTAAGTTCCCCTTAAAATAGGTTATAGTAACATAATAATAATAATAATAATAATAATAATAATAATAATATGTATACTTGTATAGCGCCCAGTCCACCTCAAAGAAAGAATACGCTCAAAGCGCTTAATTTACTATGAGACTTTAAAAAGACTGCTTTGAAAGCCATTTTCTAAAAAACACAAGTTCACAAAATACTTCCACAGTTGAAACTATGTTTGCTCTCTCTCTCTTTGTGGCCATGTGAGGCATGTCGGGGCAAATGGTTAAGTTATCGCACAGACCAGTATCGAGTAAATAAGCTATAAAATATGGGAGCTCAAAAAAATGCCTAAAAATCCAAATTTGTTTTTCACTATTGATCAATAGTTTAATGTCTTATTAATCATGTACCAAGTATTAGCTCTGGAAGTGATCAACAAATTGTTTATTTAATGTTATTTTGATAGTTCATTCTATTAAACAATGTATGCACAAATAACTTTTGAAAGGCAATTACTCAAAATCATGTCTATCTTGATTCTGAGAGAACTATACTTTCATTTTCCAATAACTTAGGCTTGAAATGTCCAATTTAAATGAATGACCCCTCATTTTAAAGATCACATACTCAGGTATCTGAAAATACCAATAACTTGAATTTCAATTTTTGCTACAACTTAGCCATTTTGCCACAACATGCCTCATGTATGCATAGATACTCCACATAAGGCATTATGCCCATGGGCTCTAATAGTTCCAGGCTCCACTACGCTATATTCTTAGTATAATTTTTTGATGTGCTTTTAACTTAAATGGTTCGTTACTTGCAGCTGCATCTATCCAGGATGTACAGCGCTCAAAGAGCCAATGTAGTGCAAGTAAAGCAGGAAGTAAGCCTGGTACTCCAGATGTAGATGAGCCAGCTAGGGAGCCTACACCAACACCTGAATTCAGTATTTATATCTTGGCTGCTGAGTTCCTGCTGGAGGTCAAAGCAACACAGGTAACCTACTTTTGATGTTTGGATACAGGGTCTACTTGAATTAAGATGTGTTTATCGTGTGTGGGTTGAATATGAGAAAGGCACAGTATTTTACATTCAGGTTTTTAAACTTGTGATCAGGAGTTAAACTACTTGGTGGCCATTATTGGTTGACTATGCTTTTAGATACCCACTTTTATTTGATTGTAAAGTAGTTCATGCTATGTTTCAATCAAATGTTTATGTTAGATAAAGTGCCTCGCTCAGTGGTAACAAATAATATTTGTCCACAGGACGAGCCACTTATTATGACCAGCTTCAGCACTCAAACTTTCAGACATACACAGTGCATTCTTGCTGTAACTGAGCATTTTGTATTTTTACATTTATATCTAAATTTAGTGATTTACAGCATTTTTTTCTTTTTTTTCTCTAGTTTTGTGAGCGTGCTTTGGCACATGAACTACTTGCCCCTAAGGGTGGGCCAAGCGGTACTTACTATGTAGCATTATCTAGGCTGAAGCTACAGAAAAAGGAACTTGAAGAAGCAGATGAAAGCCTAAAGGAAGCACTGATAGTAAACAATCAGGTAAGATAGAATGCTTGGCATAACAGAGAGGGTTTGCTAAGCAATTTCCCCTTTGTTCATAAGGCTTACAGATCGGCCACTTGCCATTCCCCAAGGCACTGTATTTACGTTCTCTCATGCCTGAGGTCTGAAGCACATTACACTTTGGCAGTAACTTGCACTATATTTTGCTGAAATATTATACATTCAGCTGGGTTTTATGTGCCTAAAACAATTGATTAGTACTGGTAAAGTTATTACACATAAAATATGTTTTTCACTTACAGTTGCTATTTTTATACCAGTCTTAAAACAATATTCCTAATTCTGATTGAATATTATATTCCTAATCCAGTCCATACATACAGTACATTCAATCAGAATTAGAAATTTGTTTAAAGGCTTTTTTTTTTTGTTTATAAAGGAAATTATGCATTTCACATGTTAAGTTACAAGGCACATTCATGTTGTTTGCATCATGTGACTGTTTTGTTCTAGGATCCAGATGCCTGGTCAATTCAAGGTCATCTTAGCTACTTGCAAGGAAACATGACTGAAGCACGGAACTGCTATGAAAGGACTTTATCGTTTATTGCAGACGCTAGAGAAATGCATGCAATATATCTACGACTGGCATCGATATACCTCCAGGAAGGAAAGGTAAAGAAAAGAGAAGAATAGGCAAATGGGAATTAAGCCACTTTCCACTAGGCAAATTTATTCTCGCGAAGGGAAATTGTTTTATGTGCGATTCCTTCATCGCATTGTTCACACTTTCACATTTGGTGTTTTGCTTTGGCCAATTTTAGAGTTCGAATGATTCTACGCTTAATTTGTAAAAAACCCAAACCAAGAAAACAATGGAATTACACTGTTCAAGACAGTGCATATTCACAACATGCCTACCCCACAGGAAGGGGGAATTTTTAAGGTGGAGGCTGATTATTAGAGTTAGTGTGATCTAATGTTTCTTATAATATAGAACTTATTTTCATTACAGTTTGAAGAGGCAAAGAACACCTTTTTGCTAGCATGTAAGAAATCCCCATCCTGTGTTTCCTGGCTTGGTGTTGGTATTGCCTGCTATCGGGTGAGTACAGAGAGTGTCTCGACATTTCAAATAGATTGCTCTATTCGTCTTCAGGAGAATGAGAGAGAGAGAGAGAGAGAAAGAGTGTCATTCCATGATGATATAGATGACTACGGTATATGATTGGCTGATTTTACTATTGTTTACCTGCCATGCAAACCTTTAAACAATTAAATTCAAATCATTCATTGTCAAATATAGCAATGTTGTAGAAATCATAATAAATCAATCATTATTGTCCTTTTTTGAAATTTGTTGTGGATCAACAGTTGTTCACAATTTAAGCTATTAATAACTAAAAACAATAGACAAAAAAAAATAAATGAATAAAATACAATATATAATATGAAAATGTGTATTGCCCAAGCTGAACAGATGCAAAAATTATGTTTATGAAGGAGAACCCAAAATAATTATATGATTTTCAAAGAGTTTTAACTAATATATATGATACTTAACCATGGATTTTAACCTGATGGTTACCGTTAACACCCAAAATACATTGGTAATGATTAGCAATGGGCCCTAGAATTAAGGCCTAGGCCTTTAGGAATGTGTCTGATTGGCCAATCCTTATTTCCAACAGCTTTTTTTAGCCTAATCCAAATATCTCTTACTTCTTATCATGCAGCTTGGTGAGTTTTAAGAATGTGTCTGATTGGCCAATCCTTATTTCAACAGCTTTTTTTAGCCTAATCCAAATATCTCTTACTTCTTATCATGCAGCTTGGTGAGTTTTAAGAATCTGTCTGATTGGCCAATCCTTATTTCAACAGCTTTTTTTAGCCTAATCCAAATATTTCTTACTTCGTATCATGCAGCTTGGTGAGTTATCAGAGGCGGAGGATGCGCTTTCAGAAGCTAACATATTGAACAACAGTGACCCGTTGGTGTGGGGCTACCTATCGCTGGTGTGCCTACATACAGGTAGACAGCTTGAGGCAGAGCAGTCATACAAGTATGCCATCAAGGTCAACCTACAGGATGAAGAACTTCTTGCTGAGATTCATAGCGTTCAAGAACAGGTCGGCTTCGGAAATCCTCAATTCTAACCTAAAGTTTAAATCAAATACATGTTGGCTAGATGAATCAACAGCTCTTGTTGGCAGTTTGAAGCCTTCCCTTTGGTTATTGTCACTGCTGTTAAATAGAGAGTAAAATGTTGTATATTATTGCCTAGATTATGAGCTGTATGTATCTCACAATGATTTAGTTTTTATATTCCTTTTTTTTTAACAAAGTTAGAATTACACAACCTCTTCATGTCAATTTTATATTACTTTAATGGCCTGTAAACTAAATCTTGAATCTTAAGATTTTTGTTTGTTTTAATTGTAATGATTAATTTCAAAATCTTTGGATTTGAATACAAGTGTCTTAAACACCCACTTTCTTTATTATTTGGTATCACTTTAACCAAATAATTGTTTTTATACTTGGTTGTTTTATATTAGAAGTTTTAAACTCCTTCTAAACTGTCATACTTTATACATTTCCAATATGAAAGTATAATTGAAAGCTTTATAATCCAATATGTTATTGGAGACTGAAACTGATATAATTGGAAAATTGTATATATTGTAATATAGATTTGGAACAATTATTGTTATATTGTATTTTTATTAAGAAATTGGAGTGTAATTTATTGTCAATATAGTGTGATTGTGTTTAAATTGAATGTAATAATGAAGAATATAGTAATATTGAAAAACTTTTGCTTGGTGTATTTATGTGTATTATTTAATCAACATATATATGTACGATATGTTGTGGTGAAGAAATATTGCTTTGTTGTCAAAGTAGGTTAGTGATTACTATATATACAATTCACGCTGCCTGCCCCCCCCCCCCGTTTAAAAAGCAAAAAAAAAAAGAAAGAAAAATAAAAGAAAGCAAAACAAAAAAAAGAAAGAATGAATTTGGAACCAGAGAAAGGTGATCTTTAATTAGAAGGAGACTTGTATAATCAAATCTTTTCTTGTTATTACCAGATCAACATAATACTTAAAAGAAAGAATACAGAGCTTATGGGTGGGCACAGAAGTGAACCAACCATTATACTTTGTAAATAGAGTATGTGTCCTCATCAAATTTGGAGCATGATGCATTTTGATTATTTTTCAAATACGTATTACTGTATCATTAATAATTGATGATAGATATTTTTGTTATTATTAAATATTAAAATTGTTACTATTGCTGCTATTATTATTTTTACAATTACAAAATACAGTTATTATTGCATTAGATAAATAGTGACATATTATTATTATTATTATTTTATCAATTATCATTATTCAAATCACGCTGCCTGCCCCCCCCCCCTGTTTAAAAAGCAAAAAAAAAAAGAAAGAAAAATAAAAGAAAGAAAGGAAAAGAAAAAATTGATCGCCAAAAAGTGCCTCAGGTTGTTTTCGGGCGTCTAGAACACGAAAGTTTCTCGGAAGCATTCCCCCCGACAACAAGGGTTGTGGTATATCGATTGGCCCCACTTTCGGCCCTCCTTTCCTCCTTCTTCGGACATTTCTGGATCCGCCCCTGCAGTTTGTACTTGCCTATTCATTGACTATCCATAATAATTTTAATCAGTTTTAACTTGAAGTTGTAGCAATAGGGCTCTGTGTCAGAAGCACAACTTATCTCATAGTCATAACTTAACGTCAATAAAATGGCAATTAAATGCAAATACTTCAATGAAAGAGATACGGTTGCTCTGCATGCACCACTTGACTTTGCACAGTGTACTGTGCGCAACTTGTTTTCTTGCTACCACTTGACTTGTGCACATGGTGCAACTCATTGTTTGTCCTGGCGATTTCAGAAAAAAAATTAAATGATCATACAATTTCCAAAGCCACTGACAAATTTTTAAAATTGTTATTTTAATTTATTGCAAGTCCTGAATAATCGCCCAAGGCAATGAACCTTTCCGCTAAGCTTCGTCTATTGGATATTGTTGCTAAGGCTTAAACGTACGTAAACACGTACGTGTGTGTGACAAGCATGTTATCTTAGCTATGATCTATTCAGTTTAATTGTTAAGTATTTGCCATTCTATTGCGAGAATTTGACTATCATTGACTGATGATAGTTATCAAAGTCATGGTTTATCTTTCATTGCCAGAGAGAGAGAGAGAGAGGGAAATAGGCCTAGTTGGACTTTCCAATGTTTGATTAACTCATAATATATCAAAAAGAATGATGATAATACCGGAAGTCATTGAACTCAAAGATAAGATTTGGCCAATCTCATTGGCTGAGTGAAGGGTAGACCGAGTTTTTTTAATTTTTTTTTAATGAATTATTGCTCATAGGCTCTTTGAATTCATATTCAAATCAGCTAGCTGTATTTCACCGAAACTGATAATGGGGTTGATAGTAACACCCCCTAATTAAATAATGTTGACGATTAGTTTCATATGAGAATATTATACAGAACGAACTAGGCTTACTGTACTAACGTCTTCACTGTGTAGCAATGCCTCATCTTAACGGATTTTTTTAACGTCGATCGAGCATCGCTGCTTTTACTGAAATGTATCTTGCTCAATAAAACGATTACCAAAGAAATCGTATTCCAAACCGTATTTCTATATTGCTTACTGATATGACTTGATGACTAGTGCGATGTAAAACTATCCTGCGAATGTTATGTTCCTGTTTTCGTGCCTGTATCTTGCGCATACCATTATTACGCCATGAGGTCTAAGACGCAAGGGCACATGAAATAATTTGCAAACGTATATACTAGACATTAGGGCATTTGTTAATCTTTAGAAAGTGTTTTGTATCTATAATCAAAATGAGGAACAAACATAGGACTAAGAGGGCCTTTACAGTGGGGATTATACTTGTTACTTGTGTATTTGTTTTCATGGGACTTTTCACAGTCGTTAGAGGTAAGTACATTCATAGACTTTATAATAGATGTGTATAAGAGACAGGATTTGGAACAATTATTATTATATTGTA